GTGTCCAGGTAGTCTGCTTTGGTCTCTTCAGAAGAGTCTTGATCTGACTCTGACTCCGCTTCCTCAGGCTGACTTTGTTCACCAAACACACTGAATACTTTAATAAAGTTCGAGCCACTGTCTGTTCTCGTTCTTACTACTTTTCCCCTTATTCTGTATTAACAATGAATGCCATCAAGGGCACCAGCTAGGACATCAAAGGTGTGGGACCCTTTCAACCTCTGGCAAGGAAGGCACCAGATCTCCTCTCCAAGGTTTCCTCATCTATCCAATGAGCGGTGACTCCTATGAAACTTTGCTGGTGTGCTGTCCAACAATCTGTAGTGGTGGCAACATGGCTTACTTTACTGAGGTGCAACATCAAAGTTTTTTTCATCTGATTGGCAGCTCCCTCTATTGTGGTCCTGAGAGTGGGTCTGGAAATGACTTTGCATTGAGGATTCAGTGCCAACAAAAGTTCTTTAAAAGAAGGTTGTTCAACCACAGTAAATGGATGAAGACCTTCACAAATGAAATTAATCATGAGCTTGTCAACCTTTGCCTGTGATACTCGTCTGTTTGCACCCAATGCCATCACATCACTGATTTTTGCGTGCTTTCTTGGGGGTTCTGGTTGCTCCAGGGCTCGCTTCCGCGTCGCTATAAAGTCACTGAAGGCCTTCAGCTTGGATGGATGTTTTCTCTGTTAACAAATTTTTAAACAATCAGCATATAAATCAATTTTGTTTTCATTAAACACACCAAATTTTACATAAAATATTTTCCCCGATAAGTCCCTAATAAGACATCAATGCATTACATAGCTACCGCTGGTAAATTATACCATTATACCTCGTGTTTTTTTTATTTTATTTGACAGTAACAGAGGTTGCAAGTGTTAATTAACAAGTAACAGAAGTCAGCTGTCTTTGACTAATCTAAGGCAAGTGAGCGCTCTGTTATTCTTTTGCCTGCAGTGTGAACAGTGAACATATGTGGGTTAAGTAAGAAAGTAGCCACTTCTGTCTTTAATTTAACTATTTTTTAAAATAAGTTATTATTATTAACAAACAGGGAAAACGTAAGTAAACACGTTTTCTTTTGGCAATTTTCCAACCCAGTAAAAAAAAAGTAAGTTGCGTGGACAACAACGTGCTCGATCACAGTAAGTTGCTAGTACCAACCAACGTTAGCTGTGTTCTTCACAGATGTCTCGACTTAATGTGATTCATTTGAGCACAGCCTTTTTCCTACCATAACAGTACAAGTTTTATTTAACTTACCTCTACATGCTTGCGCAGGTTTGATGTGGAATTTTTAAAAGCTGCTAACTCGGTCTCTCTGGGCAAACACAGCTTACACTGCATGATAAAGCTGTTGCCTTTCTTGGACTTGAAGCCGAAATGGTCCCTTAAATACGGCCAGGGGTTTACATCGGTTTCTTCGAGTTCAGGGTCAGCAGAATTCGATGGGGTTTCTTTTATCACTGGATCCGTAACACTGATGTCAGACTCCATCTTTAATAGGCACTAGGCATGTGCCTTTATTTCCAATGACTTCTAACTGTACACAACCCATGATGGTGCCAGACATGACTGCAAATCCCACATCTGACAGTCTCATATTTGGCAGCATCACAGGTATGTGTTTATCACTATAGATAATATATACATAGACAGTGGGGATTTTTAAGTGCTGGATGGTGATCCACATTCAGTCTCATGTCTTTTCCTTACACTTAGCCATTAGCTTGCAGTTTATACCAAGAGTAGAATTAACAACCCTTTTTTTCTGAAACTTCTTTATGCCAGCTCTTTGAACTGTTTGCTTGTATAACTTCATCAATTTGAACTCTTCATGTTTAGAAACACCTTCATAAAATCTGATCATCACCATATCAGTCATTTTGCTAAAAGGCAAGAGTACAGAGGGTAAAAAAGCTTTTTTGTAATTTCTTTGAGTAGTACTTCTCCAGGCTTTTTGAAGGACATTCAAAGCTCTTCTTTGAATGTTGTCTACTTTTTGATCCATTCTCTGTCAGGATGATCCCACAATGCTTCAATAATGTTGACATCCAGCTCTGTAGAGCCGATAGTGTTCCATTGTGTGTTTTTTCTCTCCAGGTATGTCTTTATTCAGTTGCCAGTATTTTTGAGTTAACTGTCATCTGGAAAAATTGAATGATGGATCAAAATCTGACGGTGCTTTTCTTTGTACATAATTCCATCAATGTTGACACCATTGGCTGAAATGCCAACACAAACCATCACAGACGTGAGATGACCCACTACAGCTCACCTTTCTTTCAGCGAGTCTGTGTAACCCTTCTGCAGCATTGGAAATGAGTTGTGGCTTTTTTCCAATCAACAACACTGGTAATATCTGAGTATAGTGTGCTTTACAAAAACCTTCATTCAGTTCAATTCAGTAAATGACAACAACAGTCGCCTCAAGGAGCTTTATATTGTAAGGCAGACCCTATAATAATATTTTACTTGTTTCCCTGAGACATCATTCTGGATTTTGGTTATTCCTTGACCTATTTTGTTGTACTGAGCAGCACCATCTCCATAATAACTGACTCACACCACTGACAGTCCTGACCACGCATGCCATGATTGGTTAAAGTTCTCTTTAATTTAAAATAAGCATTTTTCTAATTGGCATTTGTGTGCATCTCCCGTTTGTGATGGCTGGTTTGTGAAAAGTACACGTGCTGTATCTGTCCTTTTGTGCTTCTTTTTATTAATAAGATGGAAAGCATTTCTCATGACATCAGTGGCAGTGTAACATATATTAGCTAAATAAAAAATGAGCGCTGTGTATAGCAGAAAGCTGTTTCACAACTGAATACCCAGTATTCAGGTAGCATGGTGAAACTAAACTTTTACATGATAACTTTGTCTTGCTTGATGCAGACACAAAGATATTTACATAGCTGTTCTATGCAAATGCATGCACACATACATACAAGTATGGACACGCACTCACCTCATTTCCCTTTCCTTCTCACTTGACCTAAAGGTCAGTTAAAGGCCAACTAATTGAGCCGAGGAAGAATGCATCATTAATTATGAATACAGTGTCAACATATAGAGCTAGAAGATGAGGACAGCAGAGGAGAAAGTGTGGAGTAGAGCGACTCTATATGTTGGGTTGCCTTCTTTCTCTCTTCCCACCTGCTAAATGTCATTGCTTTCCTTGTCATACCTCAGGTCACGGTGTGCTCGCCTCCTGCTGCGTCTACACACACAGACACACACAGACACACACTCATTGCACAGACAGGCTTCTCATTGCTGGCAACAGTATGAATGTGATTCTAAGATACACTGAAATATGAATGCAGTGCTCTTATGTTGAGATCTGATTGGATTAGTTGTTCTAACTCTCTATACTTTGAACTCAGCCCTGACACATGTTTGTGTCAGGAGCACTAAGCAATTACGATTCAGCAGATGTTACATTTGCTCATTTAAATCTTTATTGATTAAATGTTTATCAGATTTTGGATCCATTTGCATCTAATTCCCACTTTTGGTAACAAAACCCTGTAACTCAATCAGCAGCAGTAATTGTCCTATTTGCATGTACTGCAGTCCTGCTGCTGGTTGTTGGTGGTGTTGCATCGCAAGTGAGCTGCTGGAAGGCAGATAAATGCAGGATGAGCTGACTGGGATAAATACAGAGTAGAGTAAATGGGGCTGAAGGATTTGAAGGACAATAATTGCAATTTGTTTCACCAATACTGTGATTATATTTTATAAATTAACACTGAAGAACACTTGTGACAAACTAAATAGACTTTCTATAGAAAAATTGTACACGTTTACTTCACATTTATTAAGCAAGAACCTAAGACTGTGACTGGTGTTCAAAAGATTACAATTTTAGGTACTGTGGGAAAAAGCGAAGGAAATGAGCTTCCACTCAAGGGTGCTGGAGCTCTAGAGGGGGTGAGGGGCTCGCTCATATGGGATGGACTCAGAGTAGAGCTTTTACCACTTCTCATCAAAAAGGAGCCAATTGGGGTGGTTTGGGCATTTGACCAGGATGCTTCCCAGACACCTCCTGTGTAAGGTGTTTTTTTGCTTCCACCTGGGAAGAGATAATGGATTATGTCTCTCCAACGCCTTAGTGTCCTCCTTGAGAGCTAGATTAATAAGCCCCCAGAACTCATACAAATGATTTAGCATTTCTCTAAACCAAACTGTGGTTGCTGGATGATCAGACATGCTGTCATAGCCCAAAATAGTGTTTAAGTCACTCTTTTACTCTCTCTGTTTTGGTGCTTTCATGTGCTTTTATTTTTGCTTCTAAGCATTATAAGTGGTCTGTTTGTTTAATAATATATATGGTTATGTCTTTGTTTTATTATTCATAGACTTCTCGCTCTTTTCTATGCATAGATGCTTTTGTGCCTTTGGTTTTCTTATAGTATTCATGAATGCCTTCAAACTGTCAGGAATTGCAGGGAATATGTCTGCGTGGCTGAATTGGGCACATTTATACGATTGACCCAAGTACTGTTGTTAATTATTGTGCATTTTCTATTAAAAACAGGCAAAACAAAACAAAAATTGATTGTTTTTAGTTTAGTCAGATTGGAGTAGGAAAATTTCCATGATCACTTGACTGTGATGGGATCGAGAATAAAAAATAAACTCTTTCATTTTACTTCTTACTTTAATAATAACAGAAAGATTAAAACCTTTCACCAGAGGCACGCTTTAGCCAGGTCTTACCAACTTGACATGGGTAGCATATAATTACTATACTACCATTACTCCAGCTGTTTGTTAATAGTTGTTATTCTCTATTTTGTCTATTTGTACATACTGTATGCTGTTTACACCAGCACAAACAGGGCTTTAAATACATTCTGCCATGCAGTACTTTGATAATTTTCCCTCTCACATTGGTCTCACTGAATTATATTGTAATTATAAGCTTGTCATCATATTAGCTTTTAATTTATACCACCAAGTGCATGTCTAATCCTGCACTGTCTTTTCTTCCAGGTTGGGCCTCTCCAAAGCTACCAGGAAGCTTCTCAGCACACACTTTGTGTCTGATGACAAGTCTCAGCGCTCGACACCAGGATTTGGAATTTTTGTTTAACCAAAAGAAAACATTCTTTCTTGAAATGTGACAAAGTCTTGCAGTTGTTACAGTCCTGTAGAGTTTAAAGACTCTGGTTCATGAGCAAGGATTTTTTTTCGCTGTGCGCTCTGTCACAAAGGTGCAAACAGAACTACAGAGCTACAGCTGAGGGGCACTGGTAGCCCTGAATAATTGCTCCTCGACTGAAGGCGCCAAAAAGGCTTTTTCTTGGATTGTCAGCATATTATTAAAGGTCACTATCCTTTCACCCCTCTTCCCCCTTGAGCCCCGTCTCGCTGCTTCATTTTTTCCCTCTCTTTTTTAAATTCCTCAGCCCTTGACTTTCAGATTATTGTGGGATTAAATATTTGGCCCTCAGAAACCCCTGTTCAAATGTCATTTCCCACCCAGGAGTATACTGAGACTGAAACTTTAACCAAAATAACACCCAGGAGGAAGCAGTGAAGGAGAAAAGAGGGCTGGAAGAGGAAGGAATAAAGGAGACTGAAGGGCAGATGGCTTCACTGCTCGAAAACACCAACAGCTGGATGAATAAAACATTTGAGTAGAGAGCAAGTCGTGACATCTGGCTGAGGAGTGAGTGACTCGCGTTGCTGCTTTCCTCCTTTCTCCTTGTTCACTTCACTCTTTTCACTGACCTACATCCTTGTCTTCTTCACCCCCTCCCATCCATCTTTCTTTTCTCTCATGTCATCCTCGCTCTCTCTGTGGACACAGGAGTTCAGGTGGTTACTCAGACAGACAGAAACAAGCTTGTGACTCTGCTTGTTTCTACTTCTTGCGTTCCACCTTTGCGTGCCCTCTCCTGCTTGCCCTCCTTGTCTCTCTCTCTACCTCCTCTACGGTGTGGTGTGTGTGTGTGATGGTGCGTCCCCTCCTCTCGGCCCTGGAGACATGCCTGTGCAGGAGATGGCGGTGAGTCCTGTCAAGTCTCTGTACTGGGAGCAGTTCCCTTCCATGTCGCAGTGCCGCGTCTACTGCACGCCTGTTTACCACGAAGGCCTGGTCTATGTGCTCGGGGGCTGCAGTGAGACCGGCATGCCTCTGGACAGCGTTGAAGTCCTGGATGTAGAGAGCCAGACGTGGAGCCAACTGCCTCCACTGCCTACTGCGCGGGCGGGGGCCTCAGCTGTGGTGCTAGGGGGCCAGGTTATGGTGCTTGGGGGAATGAATCAGCAGCAGACCCCTCTGGCCTCTGTGGAAATGTACCACCCCGATGAGGGCAAATGGGAGACAAAGGCGAGTCTGGGTCAGCCATCCATGGGAGTCACCACAGTGGAGAAAGGTAAGAAAGCGTAATCCACCTGCGCTGCTCTGCTTTGTGATATTGTTGTCACACTGTCACAGTTTTCTCACTTTGAAACTTAAATCTGTTGATCTCAAAGAGCAGTGTCCAATCATGGCTTAGTATTTGTAACCAGTTTAGTTAAAGATGTACTTGTTATTGGTTTACTGCAGCTTTGATGAGGTTACAGGTAAATATTTGTAGGATGGGCAATCCTTTTAATTTTACATTTTCAAGTTTTACCTCTTTCCATATACTACTTCCATTCATCCATTGACTGGATTGTTTCATGTGTATGATCACTGATGTGCCATCTAGTAAGTATGTCCCAGAAAGCATAAAGGTGACAGGCAGCCAGTCTGTTAATTTCAATGTATTTTTCTCTTTTTTTGCCACATGTTAGCTATGTTAGCTTTCCTGTTTGCTAGCAGGAAAGAGGTGTTCTATGTATGTTGGTCAGTGTTTTTGATTTATCCACCAAATGGGGTTTAGTGAGCTGATACACATGAAAAGCTTAAAGATGACACATTGCATGTGGGTTTGGGTGGCTGTATCTCAGGTTTTAGGTCATCTACTAATCAGAAGGTTGGTGGTTTGATTCCTTGTTACTTTCGTCTGCATGGTGGTGTACTTTTGGGCAAAGTACTGAACCACAAGTTGCCCTCTGATGCATCTATCAGATGGTGAATTTTAGATGGAAAGCATATAGGTTTAGAAACAAGTGCTTGTGTGATGAGGCATGTTTTGTAAAGCACCATATAAAAACCAGTCCACTTCTCCTTGGCTCTTCTCTCTTGTGTTATTATGTGTGATGTAATACTTCCTGGGGCGCTTGATTTATTGGCTTTTAGTTAGATTTATTGCCATCAACAAAATAACTACTCTTTCACTTCACTTGTTGCTGGTCAATTCCGTTTCCCACGCACGTTGCCTTTGTGTGAGGAGCTGCACTCACAGTGAGAGCAGGGAGAGGAGAAACTAGCATGAGCAGAAATAACAGCAGCACACAGTAAAGACTCCCACACTTAGCTGAAATGAGAAAAATGCAACAAAAGGCAAGTGATGACATTAATTTTTATTTTTCATTTACTCTCATTGTTTTTTACAATGCTGATCTGCTGATACAATGCTTTGTATCAGCAGATACACAAAGCCAAGTTAGTCAGCATTTCACCAGAGCTGAAAAAAGCTAGATCATAGAGATAGTGTGTCCAGTCTTTGTTTGACAGGTTTACCTAATTGCAGAGCATTCCTCTGCTTGTGTTTGATTTTGCATGCCCTCCCTCAGTGACTCCAAAAAATCTTTACATAGGCTCATTAAAAACTGATGAAGAAGAGTATGCAGCTGCTTTGACGTATTTGTAAGGCTTTAAAACAGTCACAGCAGAAACAAACTCAATTCTCCGAGGTGTCGAAGTTAACTAATTAGCATCACATTTTGGTAGAAGCTTTTCAGATGCTAAAGTGTCTCCTGAGTGGGAGGTTTTTCTCTTGTGATTAAAGCTGAGTGGTGCTCAGATCGATTGCTGCTCGCACAAGTCGTGATGTTGGTGCTTAGCTTTGGTTTAGGTTCTGTAAATACTGCACGTGGCCAGGCCCAAAGTTCTGATTATGTAAATGGTCAGTAGATTAGTTGTGGGTGTCTGCGCTCATGTCTACTGTGTGCATGCTTCCTCGTGTACGCAGAATGTCACCGAACGTAGCTCGTGCAGAGGCAATCATCACGCGGTCTGCCTCCACTGAATAAACATACTGGACTTCATGCTCATTCCCCAGGCGTGTGCTGGCTGTCAGTTTGTGTATGTTGGCAGGAGGAAGGGAGAGTCGTGAGAAAGCGAGGCTGAGGGAGAAAGAAGACAAGACAATGAACTGATCTCCTTTCCAATAAAGGGGAAAAGATGGAGTGCATATCTTTAGCCCAAAAGTCCAGAGAGATTTACATTTTTACAATACGGAGCAAAAAAACTGAGAACAGAAGGAGAATAAAAGAGACATCCACTTGTTGAAGTGCTTCTTCCTGCTGTTTCTTTTGTTTACATCTCAGGCTGCTTTCTGTTGAGCGCTGGCCTTATAAACTGAGGAATCAATATGACCTTTCAAGGTAATAGAGACAGAATAAGGGAATGTTTCTCTGATGTGCATGTATATATGCCTTATACTGTTTTAAATATGCAAGAGACAGAGCACAGGTGCTGCTGATGAGGAAACTGCAGATCGGTTTGATCCTTGTAGCTTGTTTTTGGAATGTGTTATCAAATGAATATTAAAACTTTACATGGTTTAGTATTATGGGTATATTATGATGAAACATTGTGCAGCTATGATGCAGTAATTTTGTGAAATGTGCAGAGAGATGTATTAGAAACACTGTCAAACATTCTGCTTTTGGATCAGTGATTCTTTTTATCTAAAGTGTTTGGAGGGAATTGGACTCTACTAAATTTCCTTGCTATTAACTGAATGGCAGAACTCTTGGGTGTAGGACTTAACACCGGTAATAATCTAGTTTTAATCTACACATATTTGGTGTGTGGGAGATTTCATGTTTTGAAGTTTTAGCATCTTTGAATAACTGCCTGATGTTACTTTTTTTCTAAACATACTCTAACACTAACAGTTCTGTCTTGCATGAAAACAATGAATATATCTACTTTATATCCATGTTTTCTATGTGCATCATCAACTATTGGTAATGACATTATGCTTTGTGCTAAGTTTAGCTGCAGTCATTTAAAATGTATAGAATCTAGAGCATATTTTACAACTTTTTTCCGGGGCGTCAAGTCAGCTAGGGGCACTTTTCAAATAACCCGACTGGCTAGAAATACAAAAGCTGCTTTTTAAATGAAGCACCAATTGTAATACATAATATAGGCTGAATTCCACACAAGCAAGAATAGATGCATCCAAAGTGGTGATCTGTGACTGAGTCTGATGGGAAAAGTGCTGTATAATGTACCATATATCATGTATCAGATATCAAAAGGGCTGCATTCATTAAAAGCAATATAGAAAAATGACTGTGTCTGTTAATAGATTTATCAGTAGCCATGTCAAAGCCCCATTACCAAGACACCAGAAGATCTGACTAAAATTACAGTAGTGTATACTGTGAAGTTAATGTGACGCCTAAATGAAGTTATTCTTGTGATAAGACAATGTTAATGTTGTTCTTTCAGTTTTAGTCCCAGTGGTTTTAAATGGTGTATGAGAAAAAAATATATAAAAATATATAAATATACTAGAGATGCACCGATTACAGTGTGAGCTAGTGATAGTGATTTTTTGTCAACTCCAGTTTTCTATCCAAGTACAACTAACAGCATATGAAAAGCAAAATCAACTTTTCTTCAACCCTCAATCTTTATTTTCATAATAATAATTAAAATAAATCAAACCTTATAAATTTCCCAAAATTGTTACTTATTTCAGTAAAACAACTGAAAATAAAGAGGTGCCAATAATTCATTGAAAAGGTTGCTGTGCATCCACCTTTGTGTGATAGATTTGATCTTACCAAACAAAAGCAAGTGGAACATATTTATATATAACAAAACAAATGTCAGGTATTTGAGATATTACACCATTTTCCAATACATTTATAAATTCAATAAATTTTTTCACCCATCTTATTAATTTTCCCCATAACTGCTTTGATCCTCTAGCTCTTATCAAGGCTGCTGGCTTGTGGCTGGCTCTCTGCTCTGGATACAGCTCTAGCTTTAGCCTCTTTGCGTTAGTGCAATGTTTCAGATCTGTTAAAATTCAATATTTATGTTTACCCAGCCAGCAGCCAACTCAAGCAGGAACATGCTTTGAGTGCGGAAACCAGTTTAACCATTAGAGAAAAAGTGCCATTACAGAAAAGCTTAACATTAACAGCATGGATGCTCATGTTTCCAGGCTCGTAGTTTCCAGAGAAACTGCAGTGCAGTGTGGAAGGAAGTAGGAAGGAAAAAATACAAAGGAGTGCAACTTATAGTTTTCTATCATTTTTTTCATGCACTATTTCCAGTCTTCTATCATTATTATCGTTTTCCTTACCATCATGATAGCAGCGTAGTGTATTCATGTCTTTGTATTTGTTCCCAAACTCCTCTAAGACGACAGCTTCAATCTTGATGAACTTTACCAAGCGTGTCTGTGAAGGCTCTCAGTCATCCAGGTCATCATAGTCTAAGGAGCTTGGAAAGAAAAGCGTCTGGACTTCTTTAATTTTCTTGAAAATTACCAAGCGTACCAAGATTCGTAACATCTATATAGTGATTAATTAAATTATTTTCTTCAAATATAAAGTGACGTTTCTTTTTCTCTGTATTTGTATATAGAAACTGTGGGATTGAGGCCAGTTTATGAGCGTCCGCCCTTTTTACACACACAAAGTGAATGTTTGCATGTTCATGTGCATGTGACACATACGGTCATCAGAAGGTTTAACAACTGCCAAGTTTTCATTGCTATCTTTGCCATTAACTGAAGGAGAAAAATGAGCATGACTGGCAGGGAGAGGGGAATCTTTTGAAAGATTTGAATTTATATCCAAAGAACCAAAACCAAAATAAAAGTCCACAAGTAGTCACTGCAAACAGCGGGTGTCGTTTATTTTTACGAGGTAAAGTCTTACGCAGGGGCCATGCTAATCTTCTCTGTATCGTATCCAATTTAGCGTACGCGCTTGCCGAAGCAAGCACGCCTTTTCACTGTTTTCCATCTCAATTTCTATGCTCACAGTTACTGATATTCATGTGAGGGTCAAACTCTCTGATCTGTATCTTTGTGAAGGTTCTCAGTCATTCAGGCCATCGTAGTCTAAAGAGATTGGAAAGTGTCTGGACTTTAAGTTCCTTGCAGACGTTTGACCTCTCATCCGAGAAGCTTTTTCAGTTCTAAGAGCAACTGGTGGAGAGTCCCAGACTTTAAGCCTTATGGGAGTGTACCCCCTATTCATAAACTCATGGCACAACATAGAAGAGCCACCTCGACTGGACAAGACTCGGCTGTCCATCTGCACCTAAAGGACAAAGAGGATGCCAGTGTTCACATTTTGGACAGAGAAGACAGATGGTTTGAAAGAAGACTGTGAACAACCATCTTTGAACAGAGGCGGGGGCTTACGACACCAACTGCCTGCCATCTATAATCCAGTTTTGAGATCCCTTCCAAGACACCTAAATGCCCACTCACATCCTGGGCCTTTTGACCTCAGTAAATCACATGATAGGGTGGGGCTAGGTTTCACAGTGGGTTCACTCGAAACCTTGGCTGATTGTGACCTACACCCGTAATGACACCTTGGCTTGTGTGATTAGGTAGAGGATCAATAGGGGGTCCATGACCCTCTTGGACACTCCCATAGGGCTTAAAAATCTGGGACTCTCCACCATTTGCTCTTAGAACTGAAGAAGCTTCTCAGATGAAACATCTTCAAGGAACTTAAAGAAGTCCAGATGATTTTCTTTCTGACCTCTTTAGACTATCTCTGACCTGTAGCAAAATGTCAAAAGTAGTGCTCTTTCCTCTTTAATTGACTGTGTAAATGTGTAGTTTTAAACACTGTGCAAATCACGTTTACTATTAGTTCAGTAGTAATTAAGCTATTTAGGCTTATTATTTAGAGGCTGATCAACAGTTACAAAAACAGAAAGCATATGTAAAGGAATCAACGAATATAGCTGCCGATGAAATGGGCTGTAAACATGTAGGATGGGGCTGTTGACATTTCATCTTTTCCTGGAAGTTGCTTTTTGTTGTTGTCTTCTCAACTCTAACTGTAGTCTGATGCAGGCCTGGCAAAAACCATAGGGTGGGTTTTTACTAGTAGAAAAAGGGATAATAAATAGCACCACAGGTAAATCTTGACACTGAAAAAGCTTAAGACTAAGTTGGTGTGTGTATTAGGATAATGATTTGCTCCAAGTGAGGTCACAGATTAGTGTTATTACTTTGGTTGTTGGAAACACGAAAGGAGATGAGCAGACCATCCAACAACAGGCAGAGGAAGACAGAGGACTAAATAAGCCAAGGATAACGAGGGGATGGGAAACAGGAGGGAAACACAGCTGGAACTAATAAGACACAATTTGAACACTTTGAAGGGACTATCAAAATAAAACATGAAACAGGAGACAAACTCTAAGACGTGGACTTGACACAGGGACCGGGGAAGAAACCGACATGGGAACAAACAGAAAGGAACGAGAAAACAGACACACAAAACGAACATGAAGACAAGGGAGACATGAAATGTGGAATAGAGAAGAGGCACAGTAACAAAACTTAAAGATTAGAAACTACAAAATATAAGCAGATAGTAACTAGGAAAACTTGAAATACAAATGACTACACCATGAAAAAAATCAAAGAATATTCATAAACCAGAAACGCATAAGTGCTGCATCCCCAGACCCAGGACCATGACGGAGTCATTGCTTTTGTTACCTGTTGGATATGAGGTTCTGGCTGCTGGGGTGGAGTCCACATGCATTCACCCATAATGTCATTCTGGGTTTTTGGCTAGTTTCACATTAGCATGCTGTCTGTGCAGATGTGTAGCAGCAAATTGCAGTTGTCTCAGTTGCATTTCACCATCACTCTCGTCTTTTTGTGAAATGAAAATAAAAGCAATGTCTAATGTTGGTTTTGATTCATTTTTGATTCATTGCTCAGCTGTAGCTGTTGGCCATTTGTAACACAAATGGCCAACACTGAATACAAATGCTGTGTCTATGTGCATACTCCTGCATGTGTAGCACCCTGGCTGCTGTATTCTGGTTGGTACTGTGATATACTCTAAACTATGCAGTTCCCTGTACGAATTCTTAAAGTGCTACTGATACCATAACAGGCAGAATTCACATTTTGAGGCAAACTTTTGTTGTGAAACTGTTGTAGGATCTTTCTTTCAGGGATGCAGAATTTAAATGAGATATGAGGTGAGCCTGATGGAAGTCTAGAGTGATGAGAGGCAGTGGTCTTTAAATTTTCTTACTTCATTTAAATAATAACCGTAAGGCGATGAAGGTTAGTATCCAAGCTACAATGTTCTGGCTACAGCTGGGAAGTAGCACCAAGGGACACACGTTTACCTCCTCACACAGCCATGAATGCAGTAAGAATCTAGTCTCACAGTGAAATGTGTAAAAGCTACTTTGTCAAAAACATGTATTAACCTCACTGAAGGCTCTAAAATTCTAAAAAGCCTTTTTTGTTCTTTTCTGTAGACCTTTATTGACGGCGTCATATAAATAGATTTTTGCCATTATTTTTGCACTTTGTTCAGTGTTAGATTTAGTTTGTTCATTTGCTATGTTAGGCTTTCATATGTTTTCTGTTACTTTTGTTGCAAATGCTTCTTTGGTTAGATTTGGGAAAATGTAAGAAATTTGTGTGATATTTGGGAAATTTTTCACATCAGAGTTTGGGTTAAATAATCCCTTTCACAGCATTAACTCATATCAAGGCTCTGTTTTTCTTTTTACTGTTTGCAGGACAGGGCGATAGAGGGTGTGGAGCTTTCATGTTCACCTTATGGGTTTTCTCAGGGTACTCCTGCTGTCCAAAGACATGCATGTTAGGTTGATCGGTGATTCTAAATTGATGTGAGCATGAATGGTTGTCTGTCTGTCTGTGTTAGTGTTATGGACCACATCCTCGGAGTGGTTCTGGCTCAGGAGGTAAAGGAGGGTGCCTGTCAATCGAGAGGTTGCTGGTTCTATCCCTGCGGTCTGCATGCCAAAGTATTCTTGGGTAAGATACTGAACCCTAAGTTACTCCTGGTGTGTTCATTGGAGAGTGAATGTTAGATAGATCAAATTTATGCGTAGAATATGGGTGTAGTATAGAGTGCTCATGTACAACACAAGTACAACACATTCTGATGTGAAATTAGACCAGAAATGATAAATTTATATCTTACAAATTCTGTTGAACTTATTTTTCTGATATATTTTAAATAAAGCATAGATAATATGGTATAAATTGTGAATTTCATCCGAAAGAACAAATCCATCTGAAATTTCTCATAAAACACAGCTATTTATTACATTCCAGAGAGTTCAGTATCATTTCTGGTTCAACGCTGCTCAGTACAAAAGCAGCAGCAGCAGATTGTTTATTGATAGACTAACAGTGCATGCAAAAGGCCGCACACAGCATTCTTTTATATGAGCAGCACTGCTGCTGCTGACACTTTTCAGCTTTTACTTGTGTTTTGGCATGTTTATCATTGTGGGAGAGATCATGAAACATGAAACAGGAGCACTAGAAAGATGGAGATTAACTCTAACCAAAACGCATCACATCTACATGGCATGAACGTTCCAGCACTGATCCAGCAGAACTCCCACACTCCAAGTGCCTACAGTGTTTACCTCCTCCTACTGGTCCTGTCAAGCTGTCAGAGCTAATATGATTGCATGAATGTGTGCATGAAGACACAGATTCAGGGCGTACTGTTTACTATGCCGTGATCTTGGAATTATTCTACTGTCTGAGATTATCTGCTCTCTGACTCAGCAGAAAGACCAGTTTAAGTTCTCATTAAAGAGTTTTAAGGTTAGATATGTCACTCTTTGATCTTAAAGGCATTTTGCATGTGACAATACGAATCTTTTAAAAATGTATTTATTGTAGAAATAAGTGTTTAAGAGAGGCACGTCAAGAGTTTGAAAATGTTGTATATATACATTTATTATAGAAGTTGACTTAATATCAAGAGAAACAGATGAACACACATTACAGCAGGAATGGTAGATAACAACAAGCAGCTAGGCTGTCCTTCAGGCCCATTGTGGAGCCAAAATACAAAGTGCCATGAGCAGAGAGTCAGCTCATTGTACTTCTAAATGCTCCACTGAGACTAGTCTTTTATTTAGCGGGGCTAAATAGAGGGGCTAACACAAAAAAACATTTCATCCCCAAGGCTGGCTGCTTAAAGGGGTTGTGTTGTCCTTGTAAAGAGATAATGAAATGTTGATTGCTAATATTCCTGGATGACCCAGCTAAGACTAATTTGTCTTTTGGAAACAATTTACCTGAAACATTTAAATGCTTGTCAAGCCTGTGGCCTGGTCACAACAGCAGGTGTTAAACAGCCGAGTTTACATGTGAGGAAGGGTTTAGCTTATTTACTTGTATTAGTCAGATACACATTACATGAAGCTATAAATTGATTGGTGTGGCGTAGAGTGAAATAAGTGTCTGATCCCTTACAACCCAGCCAGAATTCTGGCTCCAACAGATTGGCTGTGCGTCCATCACTGCATGTAGCAAGGCAGAAAACACCAGTAATGATGAGGAGGTACTAAACTGGCCTTTCTTGGCTGGACTGGAGTTCACATTCAGTGTAGATCATGAAGTATTGCTGGATTGATAAATACGACTGTGATCTTTTCTTGGACTTGGACAGCCTCTGAAAGAGAGTGAGAGAGACCAACAAGCAGTTCAGTGAGTGTTGAACATGTGTTGGGAAGTGGTTCAAGGCAACTTCCAGATACTCTCAGCTGATGCCTTCTGATGTTCGGGCTGTGTGTGTGTGTGTGTGTCTTTCAGATGGTGGTCTGATGATTGATATGTCTTGGACTGCTGCACAGCCCCACATCCTTTCCTCCCTTTACAAATCTTTTTGTGTCCTTTCCTAATTTCATTTCCGCTTCTTTCTCCTTTTCATGCCCTCTCTTTTTTTGGCCTCC